GGAGTCGAAGGAACGGCGGTGGCGAGTACAACTTTAATCGTTTCTCGACCCCCCGCCCCCCGCCTCCCGCTGTTTTTTCTGTCGAAAAGTTAGGATATCACGTTGGTGGTACACGAAATTGTGTTGGAGGGTGCAACGACCCCGGATTCATTGCGTAGCGCATAGAGCCGGCGGTGGTAGTTGCGCAAGTCGTATTTACGCTTTTGCAACCCCCTTCAGCCCCCCCGCTGAAGCTGGTTACGTAAAAGGAAATTGCGTGCTCTGCCGTCTTTCTTTCTGCCTTGAATCGAGCGTATCCAGCCACACATAAGTACTACGTAATCAAATTTTCTATGAGATTTCTTCCTTCTCGTGAACTTTTAATTGCGTTTACAGGAAAAAAAGTCGCCGCGACGGTTAATTAGATTTATGACCAAACGACCGACTCGGTCTTCCCGCCTGTCGTTGCATTCTTCATCGTTTCGTTTTACGGCTGGGGAAATAAGGACAGCGCGGGCTGCAACCCGGAGCGAAGACAGTAACTTTCGGTGGTAAATCTTACAATGGAAGTCACCGAGGCAGCAATAAGCAACCGCAGGACTCCGTGTACACCCGAATATGAGTTTCCTTCTCTCCGCCACTGTTACAAGCGGTTTCCATATTCCAGGGAGGTAATATCTGGTCGAGGGTAACGCAAGTGATAGAAGCTGCGACGCGGGCGCCGGTGCCCGAAGGAAACGGGACCGTATAAAATTTAATAAAATCAATCCGAACCCGAGACTGCTGCTCGCTGATGTCTAAGCATGTAACTTTCGCGCGGTTCGTACGTATTCTCCCTTGATGTATCTCCTAGCAAATGAAACTCGACTCGTGTCAGATCATATCTAGTTATATCGAGAAAACGAAGGAACGGAGGCAAACTACTTTCGCATTATAATAAACACGAAACAGTCCGACAAGTTGAAGCTGTGAGAACTGTTAAATTAATTCTTGTTCCCGTATTAACCAATCGAGGCTACGTGCTCGATAATAGGAAACTGGGGAAGCATTTCCACTGACGCGACTCAGATTCAACCAATTTTCAACGAAACTTGCAAACCCATGAGCGAGGCGATAAGAAAATAAGGAGCGAGGGGTGAGAAACGAGGAGGGACGAGAATAGGGAGCTCCATTGATCCAGGAGAGGCGTACTAGCACAGTAGTAACTTTGATCTCGGTGTAAACAGAAAATACCCCCGACCCTCGCCCTACTCCCCCGTCCTTCCTCTCTCTAAACTTTTCTCTCTCGGTTTGTATCGGGGTCCTCTCGCTCTGTCCGTCTCCGTCTCCGTCTCCATCTCTCTCTCTATTACGCCCACCGTGGCTTGTAAATATTGACTCCCCTTCGTATTCTATTTGCGGGTTTTGCCCAGAGAGAAACTGCAGAAAGCGTCGAGCGGCAAAGACGAACCCCCGCGTCTTCTCCGGCTTGGTGTGGGTACAAACGAATTACATATTGCTATTAAATCTTTCTCGAACGACGAATATAGCATTCGTGTCCCAATTTGACAGTGTATACGTAATGAACGACTTGGTTTAACCATGAATTAAAATTGCTCATCGCCCGAATGAAGATGCGTGGTCAGAGGACCTACTGTGTAGACAAACTTTTCTCCCCATCGACGACAATGGTAATCCGCACTGATAATAGGGTTAGCAAACAACGCGGAGAGGTGGGAAACTTTAAACCGAATCAGTGTTGCAAAGAGACTAGGAACAGTAGGTTTCTAGAAACACTGACGGCAACTTCGAAATTGGGTCTCGTACAGTCAATTACATGGGGGAGTCGAAAGTTTATAGGCAGATGGGGTAGTAGATTCGTGGGAGTTAAAGCCGTCTGTAGAAACCGCGACGGCGTCGTCATCGGCTTGCGAAGCAAACCTGTCGACCAATTAGCCTCCTGGTACCGCGTGTTTCCATTTGTAATACGTAATTAAGGTCTCGACCCGGAGTAATCGTGCTTATTAACGGAGTCGCTACGCCAAATTGGCATCGAATGGAAATTATGATAATCGGTTAACAGGCAAGTAAGCTGGTTGAACGCGATCTCGTTCGTTAGGTAGAACATTTTTAGAATCTCTTCTATGGTTGTTCTAAGACTTCACGCAATGATAGTTCCGTTACATCGCGTTACACCGACCGTTTTTATCGCCCGTGTCCTTTATTAAGTAGTCGTCGGCTCGTACAACTTCTAAAGAGCGTCGAGTAATTATTTATTATTAGTACTCTTCCATAAACGGGTTTACGAGGCGTTTATTAGCACTCGACACGTCGCTCGAGCGTGCTCTTACGCGTATGTCACGCCCACGCGTGAAAATCCTACCTGTACACGCTACACAATTTCCATACGAGCAATACAAAAGAATGATAAAGTATATTAACTGTTTCACTTTACGTACCACACACCGATCCAAGCCTCAACGTTTCATATAGTCGGCGTAGAACGACATAAACGAAACGATCCGGATCTTGTTTTACCGATTCGCGATTAAAGTAATGCTTGAGCTCGCGTGGTACGCGACAAGACCTCGTGAACAAGCCCTCAAGCATTTGTTCACCCTCTACTTGTACCAGTTGAATGAAAACTGAACCAGACACATTGGCGTTGGATATACGCGAGTGCCTTTTAATAGCGAAAACCCGACAAAAGGCAGAGGCTTCGAAAAAGGAACTCGCCGGCGAGGCGCGGCGCGGCGGTTTCATTCACAGACGCGTTGTCAACGTCGATTTAGATTAATGACAATGAGTTTGCAAACCGAGGAGCGAAAGAAGGGGATGGGAAGAGGGTTAGAAAAAGAAAGATAGGGCGGACGGCGTCGGGTATGAGCAGAGCATACCCCTTTGACGAGGCACGCGTGTTAACGGCGGTGCTGGTGTGTCAGGGTTGAATGGCTTTTTCGACGTCGACGAAAGGGGGTGGCGGCAGTGGAAATTCACCCCCGCGGGGGATGAATAGACGAATGAAAGAGCGATCGCGCGCCCAACCCCCTTGACGAGGAATTATTCTCGCGGTTAGGTGTGTACGAGAGAGCTTAGAAGGAGTGAAAGTGGAAAGGCAAACTAGAAATTATAGTAGGCCGAGACTGTGCTGGGACGCGGTGAATTCATGCGACGAAACGTTCAACCGATAGATCTCGATTCTATCGCGATAATAATTTGACAACGGATCGTACAGATGATGTTACAGCCGGTCCGTGTTTTCGGGCTCGTTTCGAACGATGTGTTAACACTGATCTGTAGAAGGGGCGATCGCGGTTAGAAAGCGACCTAGAATCGATCGATCCCATCGGCTTTTATTTATAGCCACACTTTTACCTTGACGGTAAATAAGACTGGCCGCCGTGCAACTGTACCGGGTTTCGCGTAAAAGTACCATTAGCATTTCCGAACTTGAATCGTGATATTGAGAATTGACCGTTACAGCTCTTGGGACCGGTTTCTGTCGTCGCGACCTGGGAAATGTGCAACAACGTCTCCGTCGACGTTGGGTATTAAAGAGCCGGCGAATTAGCACCCGTTCCCTTATCGAATTAGAATTGGATCAAGTCGGACAGCGCATCGAAGCGCTTGAACACGTGTTCACGATTATTACAGAGGGCAATTAATCAACCGAGGCGTTGGCAATACGTCTGGTTAGAGTATCGCGCTATATAAACTATAGAGCTCGAGCGAGCGTGTTTCAACGGTGGATCAATAGCACGTAACACATACGGCTAATCTGATTAACAACCGGTGACATTGATTTCGTCCCCCTCCCCACGGTCGCGGTCGCTTCTCCAAAGATTCACTTTAACGTTGGCCTAATTCCGCGCGGGGAAACCCGCGGGGGCCTAAGTACCCGTGAATAATTAAGAGGGAGGAAAAAGGGAGGGTTGGGGTTGCACGCGTTTACCCTAAATTCGCTTTCGCGTTCGATTTACACGCGGCGGAACGCGAAGTGCAATCTTCCTTTCTCCTCGTCTCTCTTTTTTTTTCAACCTCCTTCAAGCTTTCATCGTTGCCCGAGATAGGTAACTTCAAGTCGGTCTCCGCTTTCTTAACCCAACGCCGCCGGTGCGATGGGAAAATACAACGCGGTACATCGCATAGTCCATTCTACTCGCTGCAAATCAAATCTTTAGTGCGAAAAGAAACGCAGTCAAGTGGCAACGAAGAATTCATAGTATATCGTCTGGGTATCGTGAAATCGGTGATCAGTTCTGCGATACATTGGAATTCCAATTTCGCTTCCATACATTTAGAACCGTCGATTGGTTTTATCGTCCCGTAAGTTGTACATAAAAAAGGAGAAAGTAAAGAGCGGCGAAGAATGAAAATAAGCATAAAGCAAGGGAGCAGAAATAAAGGAGTGCATCGAGCTGCCACCGCCGCTACCGGTGGGGTTGACATCCCTTCTGTTCCCGAATGGGTTGCACGTGCCGCGAATTCGCAGCCATTATTCACTCCGTAGGAACCGGGAACAGGTGATCCTGTTGCGTTTCGGCATCGTGCCCGGGTTCTAAAGCCGGGCTTAAGGCCCGGGCGCGTGCCAAAACACACGAGAAATGGCTACGGCAGTCCATCGACGACGCACAACGCGAAAAAGCGAGAGTGAAAAACTCATGGAGTGGTCCGATAAAAAAATCATTTGCACGCGGTTTATCACTCTATCAGCGAAAGCGATTTTCAGGCTCTGAGTTATACTTCAAGAAATAGACTAACCATATTAAAACTAGTCTATCTAATAAATGTTCGTACCCGTTTTAATAGTTTTACTGAAGTTTTACACGACGCGACAACGGGAAATATTTTCTTCGTCTGGCACGAGATGTTTATTAAAATTGCTTTCATGTTCGTTTTAATTGTTCTCGAGAGCCTAAATTAAAATTCGTCAACGTTTATGAAACATTTCTCCCTCCCTCCCTCTTTCCCTCTTGACCGTGTGTTTTAAAACTGCATTCGTATTTTTATTCAGCACCGCTTTTGTTCTCGCCGTGTTTCAGAGAGCCTGTGCGGACCTCACGAGAAACGTTTGCTGAACAAGTTGCTGTCTACTTACAACACTCTGGAGAGGCCAGTCGTCAACGAGAGCGAGACCCTCGAAGTGAAATTCGGCATCACGTTGCAACAGATCATCGACGTGGTGGGTGCCATTAACGACATTTCTAAATCGTTAACGACGTCTACTCAACTTATAATATTAGTACTGTTGGTTGTTCGTGTATTAACGGAGGAATTGCTCGTTAATGATTGATGAGATTCTTTGTTACATTGCATTTTTTAAAACCACGAAAGCCACAGATCAAATATGAATCGTCGAATAAAATACTGTAAATCCCGTTTGGCTATTAACTACCTATACGCGTAAATGAAAATTGTTCGAACACCATTTCTCTCTCCGATATCTGCATTCAGTCTCCTCTCCCCCCCCCCCGCTCTCTATCTCGCTCTATCTCTCGCTGCCTCTTCAAGCTCGTTCCTTTAACGAAAAGGTTCAAAGGCGCAAAGTGACGGGCGAGAAGCTTTTTCATCAGCGTCGTCGCAATTATAAAATGGTAAAGAAAAAAAAGGCGCCGTGGCTCATCGTGTTACATACTCTCGTCCTCTCTCGTCGCATCGCGTTTCGACACTCCGTTGTACAGAGAAGGAAAGATCGTATCGGACATATACGTGCGCGAATAAAGAGGGGGATCGGAAATTTTTGCGACCTTATTTTCCACTCCCTAGCCCCTGCTTAGACTTTTTCGTCGTTTCCTCCGCTTCCTCTTTTACGAGTTCCTGATTAATTTTTCCGATTTACGATGATGGAAATCTTCGATATCGTTAACGAGGGGATCGTAATTCGCGAGATAAAATTTCACTCCACCCCCGTTTCCGGGCAGAGAATTAATCTTCAGTTAATCCGCGTCCAAAGGCGAGCGACTCTATCCTTTGTCGGCAAAGATTTTCAAGGGATTGATTTCAATATAATACACGAGTTTAACGAGGGACACGATTCGTACGTGAGACGCCATTTGAATATAATTTTAAAGGGACCGCAGAAACGTTTCAATTGGGAAATTGATCCTTCACAGGAAGCGACGGGTCCGCTAACATTTTTCGCGCTCGGACCGGGCCGTCTCTTCACTTTTTTTTTTTTTTTTTTACGGAATTCCAATTCCGAAATAGCGCTCCTATTTTTTTATTTAGCGCGCGTGCGAACGAAATTGTCACGCGCCGTCGATCAATTTCTAATTTCCCCGGAAAATCGACCTTGGACGCACGAGATTCTATATTACTTTGAAGCTCGGTGGAAATCGGGCGTTAATTCGATGTCATTTTCGAGCGGAGATTGCAGTGTTTGGCGTTTACGTTCATCAAAGTTTAAAATACGTTCGTCCAAGTCGAATCTGTTACGATCTAGTTAACGTCGTCCAATTTAAGAGTAACCACTGTGAAGGCAAAGGATGTAGAATGAGTCGCCGCGTTGATCTCAGATTTAATCGCATTTTCATGAGACCGTAACTAGTTTTAATAGTACGTTTCCGTTGATGTCGTAGAGAGGAGAAAGTAATCGTACGGGAATAAGATGATAAAACAATCATAAGAGACGGATATTAAAAGAATAGTCAAACGAGTGGTTTGTAGCCATTCAAGATCGTCGTGGTAAGCTTTAAAACCGACGACAATCAACGAGTATTTAACTACCGCTTTCTAAACGCACCTTTTGTTGATCGTCGCCGAATCCAGAGACCGGTTTCACCATTTTTTACGAGCACTAACAGGTTCCCCGCGAGTAGATTAACAGAACGATTTTCGTCGCGAATCGTTAAACCTGAATCGGGCCCGGTCGCTACGATACTTGTTGCTCGGTAAGCTTTTTAGAACGCGCAATTGATATGCAAATCGAGTTTCTTTTAAGCGAGGAGATGCCTCGCGAATAATTTATTACAGCCCCCGGATTAATAATCATCGGTACAGGGACTCTCCCCGATGACGGTTTTTGGTTTAATCGCGTTGAAGCCAAATATCAAGGGGAAAGAACTGGACGAGTTTGTACTCGGACAATTCATAATAATCGGATCATAATCAATTTACGCTATCACCGATTCACGGATTATGTTCAATGAATTATCTTATTAAAAGAAACCCTTGTGAATTTTTTATTTCTCGCAGCTCTATTATACATACACACAGAGACTGTTATACATATTTCGGAGATATTCGGACGGACTATTCAGTAATTTTCTGCTATCGAAAGAGAATGGAGAGACCACTGTTTCATCGTTAAGCTCTTGATCGAAATAAACGTCTATCCCTGACAGGTGTACGCACTTGTGGCAAACAAAAGCGTCGGTTAATTAACTAATTCGGGGGACACGTGTACTCGGGTGCTCGGTGTAAAGTAAAGTTTTTAATTAAAACTGAAGAAGCGAGAGGTGTGGCCGATTTGCATTCGATTTGCCAAAGTGGTTTCCGTATTCCTGGTTGACAGATTCGCACACAAATCGTTCGTACCCCCAAGTGGGTATTCGTTTTATAAATCACTTTGAAGTTGCGAATGCGGTTTTCCACGGCAAAGAGAGGGCGCGGGAGAGAGGAACGGTGAGAGAGAGAGAGAGAGAGAGAGAGAGAGAGAGACAGAAAGGGAAAACGAAACGATTCCGGTAGCAGCAATTTGCGGTTATTGGCTCTCCAGTTTTTGGCGTGAATTTTAGAATGTTACCAGACCGCACTCGCACGTCCAACCCTTTCCCTGCCTTCTCGCGCCCCCATTTGATTTTTTCTTCTATACACACGCCACGAAATTAGTGTTACGGTCTCGAATTTATTCAAATTTACTAGAGAAACCAGTCGAATTTATTTACTTGAAATCAGTTTAAGTTGAAAATGTTTAATTTATTTTTTTTCTCTTTCAGGATGAGAAGAATCAGATCCTGACTACCAACGCGTGGCTCAAATTGGTGAGTGATCGTGTTAACACCGACGCAAACTGGTCAAATTAGGACTTTTGAATTCGTAAAAAGAAAGCAATTCGAAGCTACTTCGTATTCCGAAGCGGGTTTAAGAGGAAGATTTCGATCAAGCACGATTTGTCGGTTTGTCCACTCCATAATAATTGAGCAATTCAAGCGGCCAAGTGCTTTTCGTTCTGAAAGGATAACCCATGTCCTATTTAGAGGTTCTCCACGCTAGGGATGAATTACCACCGGTTTCAACAGGTCCTGAAACGTTTCCGTGCAACTGGTTGCCTCCTTTCAGAACGAAATAGATGTATCCTGCTGCCTACGTGTCCATCTAGCCTACCTTTGAATATTTCATAGTGTATACGGGGTCAAAAGTTACATAAATCGTCCCTGGTCCTTGCCAAGTCGATCGTAATTGCATGAGGCCGGGAGCCGCAGTTATTTCGCGGAACAGTCGACGAACAGTTCTGTTTTTTATTAGTCAATCAATTTTCCCCTCGAAGTATTAGTTTTTCACTTTTCGATGAGACATGCTTCGCCCGAGATTTATTTTACGACTCATCGCTTCCATGTCGAGAGACAAGAGTTCTAAGATATATCCTCGGTAATTGGTTGAAAAACGAGAACGCCCTGCCCGCCCGGAATATAGGCTAATAATTCCCGATAAAAGCCCTGGCGAAATCCGCGAAAGAAGTTGAAAGATGACCGGAAGAAAAAAGGAAGGCGAGGATCGGGCCGCTAAGTGAAATTCAGTGTAGGCTACTTTAATTCCGAAGGATCTACCATTGATTTCTCACAGGATTTATCGTTCCTTGGGACAAAAAAATTGATCGAACTAATATTTGAGCGAACTTCTTATTCCTTCTCCCCGAGGATCCAGGAAAATTCCTCGATGACGCTGGGAAACTCGCCGAACTAGAAATGTTGCTTGGGCAACCTGATTTTTTCCCTTGAAGTAATTATCCTCGATATCAACGATTACGCCACTCGCTTACCATTAAATTGAAACACTCTTATTAGAGTAAACAATAGACGAGTTCGGTGAAAGAAGGCACGAAAAAGGGGCAGAACAACGAGCTCACCGGTGGAAACTCTTGGGTAAACTCTGAAAAAAAAAACAGAGCTCGCGCTACGTATTCAACTCGTGCAGAATCCGTGTTTTCGTTGTCGGGCTTTAAATTCTTCTCTCGGCGCAAACGTTTCGACTGGCTACGGCATTCAAAGCGTCCTACCATTCTAGCGGACTTCCGGTTCGAATTATCCTCCGCCCTTTTTAACTTTTGATCAACGCGAAAAAGCGAGCGGTTCTTCTCTACGGGACAACGTTTTCATTATTCCCCCGTTCGTTTTACTCCTGGCTGTTTAGAAATTATTGCCGTGGTTCTTTCCACGTTCACGTTACGTCCTCGTACATCTGGAAAATTTTACGTACGGAGGAATTCTCCCTCGTATAGAATTGCAAAAAGGAATATCCGAAATTAATATTTTACAGTCAACTTGGACAATGACGTATCGAAGACAAACGTTCTTAAAGCGAATCTCTACTCTTGTAAAGTCAAGTGCATCCCGGGGTAAACATCCCCTTTTTCGTTGTTCTCCCACCCCCGACTCTATTCTCGTTCCCTTCTTTCCCGCTTCAATTATTTGCCTTTCATCCACCTCTGTCTCTGTTTCGATGCACTTGCCCTTCCACGCATAAGCATGCGCTCTCGTGCAAACACAGAGGGGGGTTGAAACGAGAGACAGGGTAGGGGGAGTTGTACACCCCACTTTGTGCCCGAGGTCTGCGTTTGAGGCCCTCGATGCCACGAGGATCTCTTGTGGCTCGAACCACACAGAAAACCACCCTCCCTCCCATCCAGTCATCTCCGCCCCGAAGGTCTCTAACTATTGATAACGCGGCTGACAACCCCCTATATATTCGGCATTATGAGTTTCGCGATTACCCCGCGTGTACGCACTGTTTCTATTTACATTCCGTTTCCTTATACATTTAATAACGTTCTATCCAGTCCTTTGAGCCTCCAACACATAATTACATTCTACTAATGACACCGAAGTCACAGTTAATAACAGGATTGTCATACAACGAAGGTGTCACGTGCTTGAGTTTAAATAAAATCTGAGTGAAAACGGGAGTTGCAGGGACTAATCGGAACCGGGATCAAGAAGTCGATTGTCAGACCCGACAGAAGGATTTACGGTCTTTCGAAATCTACGGGGTGTCGTTAGAAGGACACGTACTAACAATGGGCGCGATACTGGCTGAATTAGATACAAAGTTCCCCGGGGATATTTTCTTCTTTCTCTCTACTCGTATCGCTTAGATGGATCGTAAATCAGTCTACAGTCTATCTATCGAGTCACGAAGGAGAGAAACGAATTCCCTTTGTAAACTGCAAGATTTACTCTCATTCCTTGTTTCCCCCTCGCCCTTCTCTTTCCTAATTCAATCTCTCCAAATCGCCATCTCTTTCCTAATTCGATCTTCTAAATTACATTTCATTCATTCGTGTTCAATAATTATTGTTAGTATAAATTCGATGAGCAACAGCCGTTAAAATTGCAACGGGCGAGCTCTACCCTAATATGTACGTACAGGCTTCGATAGACTCCTGGCGAGAGATACGCATGCTAAATTTATTTCCAGACGATGCGTCACGCTGTACATAATGGAATAATTTATGGTTTGTTTAACGATCATCACAGAATCCCTTGGCCAATCTTCTCCGCGCGGAGACAATAAATTTTAATGGCATCATCCGGGGATATGGCACGGGGTGCTCCCCAGCTGACCTCTGCCTGGATTATCAATTATTATTCCCGTTCGTGAAATTGCATCGTTACCTTCGATAAACTTGGCCGCGCGATGCCATGAAATATTAAACGCAATCAGCAGGTTGTCTGTTCGCCGTTCCCCGTCAACGTCCAACTGCTAGTCAAAAACTTTCGAATCTCGGTTTCCATTCGAAATAACTATCCACCGTTCCGTTCAAAGTAACTTGGCAAGAAAACTTGTTAACGAAAAATGTCTCGGAATTACTTTCTTGTCGGATTAATTAAGTTACTGATTAAGGAAGGTAGATTTTTATCTCGAAGATCGCGGTCAGGTTTCGTTTCGGCTTTTATAATTTGATCAAACTATTGATAGAAACTAGCTCGAAGACTCGGCTTATGATTAAATACACAATAGTCGAAAGTAGCTAATAATAGTTCTCATTGTCCCTTGGTAACTTTTCTCGGTTCCCATCCGTCCAGGAGAATACTCTTGGTCTTCGTGTTATTTTTAATTGCTTCCCGCTCGGGGTTCTTCCCACTCGGTATTTTACGCGGACAAAAGCCGCGGAAGGGGTTGTTTAGACAATTTACATTTAAAGTGGCCCATTCACTCCCTTTCTAGCCATCCTCGATACTCGAGTGAAATAATAACAATTATCTGAGGAAGACGGACGGCGAGAGGTCTCTTTAAAAACCGTCTCGTGGTAGTTACGTCCGTGAGACCTATCTCGGGGAATCTCCAAACTTTAATCTTCGAGCTTTGGCCCGTTATTCGGCCACGAAAAGAACAATAATAATTGATCGATGCAGAGGTCCCTCCCACAGTTTTACTCGCGGCTACGAGTGCCGAGGATTCGAACAGCAATTTTCACGTGAATTTATTGAGAAATTTATTGGGTGCATCACGTATCACAAAAGCTTGTTACAATCGTTCAGCTGAAATAAGCAGAGTCGTAATAAATATATATAAGAAATCAGAATCGTCGAAGTGTACAACAGATCGGCGCTAAAGAGACTTGATGTTCTTCCAACAATAAGGCTTATGAAAGCTAGTGGCTGATGCGAAGATAGTTGACATGGTCACGTAGAGCAGGTGAGCTTAAAGGAGGAAACGTTGTCGTAACTCGTAACGCTTACGTTTCTCAGTCACGAGTGGTTGGAATAACGTGCCCGAGGCGCGTGTTCGCATTTTAGATCACTCGCGAAACGTTTACGAACGAGAAAGAGAGACGAAGACGGGGAAAACGAAATCTTTAATGCCGGAGATGCGCTCGAGGTTCGTTTCTTTTATCAAGATTTCTTTTTCTCTCTCTCTCTCTTCTGTAAATTACGGTTCGAAGCTCGATTGTTAAAGGGTTGAGATCGAAACGGTCCAAAGAGAATGGCTATTGGAATTCTTTGGGGCATTTAACCAGTCGGATTAAAACCAGTTTATTTTGCGCATGTTTTTTGTTTTTTCTTCCATTTTCGTGCTTCTAATTGGACAAGTAAACTTTGATGAATCGGTGAAATGACAAGTAAAATTTGTCATCCGCGAGATATCATTTTACTATAGATTGATTTTCTCTCGGGTCTCAGGTGTTTTCCACTTTCCCGGGCTAAAGTATAACGATCGTGAAAGTTTATAGGGAATCGGTTCAGCCTGGCAACGACGATGGAAGAATATTAGAAGTTCGTGATCGAAAGTTTTGCGAAACGAGTACAGGTATCGATGGAACGAGTTTCATTAAAGTTTGAATTAAACATATGCCCCGACCGTAACGAATGGCGGTCGTAAACGCGGTCTATGGGAGGAATTATAAGCTCGCGGATATTTAAATTAAACTTCCTGTCCAGAAACAATGCTAATAAAATATGCAATGAAACACGGTTGTATTACTTCAATTAAAAATACATTTTAATGTTTGTCTTCAACATTTCCGATTTTATAATATATATTATCAATCGAACCGAGTGACTTAAACTGCTCGTAATATCTTCGGAAATGTGTCAGGACGAAATTGAAGAAGAGCGAATGAAAAGAAACGATCGATACAGCGTGTAACGTTATTTGCCTCTAGGATGCCCGACTAATGGCTGACTGGTACTACTTAAGCGTCGCGTCGTCTTACGCTCGGCGATGGACTTGCACTACTTAGCTGCCGGTTCCGCGTGGCCGTGCGGTTCGCCTACTTTAACAATTTGTTACCAACTTAATAACGTCGGTAAAATGACGAAACTTGACTATCTCATAGAAAAACCTACGAGGAACACGATGGCATTTTTATCGAGTTTCTAAAATCACGTCATGAGGTTGCAATTTGTAAAACGAAACTTGTTTTTCATGTAACAAGACTTAAAATAATAATACATAAATAAAAAAAAGTCGATTGATTTGAACGATATTACCCATTCTTATCAGTGTAAATATATTAAAACGCGTTTAAACGATTACAAATTTTTAAGTGGATTAAAGCGACGACCAAGGACCTAAAAAGCAGCTAATTTTGCCTGGAGCAACACAGCTGGTTGGTTTCCTCGGTTTGGCACGTAGTCCAATGGCAACATCGCGGTTAAGGAAGATCGCGGAACTCGACCGAAGGCACGCGTCGAATTAATGCGCGCGCGTGCATACACGGCCACGATTCGTAGGCATTGCGGTTGCTCGAAGATGGATACGGCGATCCATCGCTGTTAAACGACCCGTAGAGACCCGGATCATAGATCAAGTTACGATTTTATTCACTTTTCATGCGAATATCAATCATCAGTACGATGCCCGAAGTAAGCTAATATATTTAACCAGTAAATCCTGCCTAGTATATATTTATTCATAGGGTCACTTTGGCAATGTATAATTAGTTTGATTTCGGTTCGAAAATACATAATCGTACTCCGTCGTTGGCTGTTTTCCATACTTTTGGACTTGGCTCGGGAACATTTAAATTCTCCACGAGCTCATAAAAATGGTCAGGTCTCGTATAAAGAGAGTAGCCCTCGCCCTCGCGAGATTCTCGTGAAAAACATCGGACGCAATAAAGCCGAAGCGAAAACCAAAGCTTTCGGGACCCTAACCCAAAAGAGAAACTAATTTCGTCTCGAACAGGGGAATCTGTAAGCCTCCGGAGCTTCGGATTCCAATAACGGTTTCATTGTCATCGAGAAAGCGGCATCGATCGTCTATAACCACGTATATCACGGAGGGAAAGAGAAGAACAGAGGGCTATCTCGAATTAACGAACTTTAGAGATCTTTCGCGTCCCAATGCGTTTTAATCGTCGAGTTAGAACACGGTACAACTCGATAAACCTGTAGGTCGCTCTCGATGGTCTCGCCGTATCTGCTTCCTGTTAGTTATTAAGAGAATTGCGGAAATTTCACTGAAGAAATTAAATCTTGTCTAAAATGTAAAATTGAATGGGAGTCTTGTAATAAGAACTGACTAATAAACGTCTGCGTTCGAAGTGGTGGGTTCAATTTCGATACACGATGAACCTTGTTTCAGGAGTGGAACGACTACAATCTCCAATGGAACGAGTCCGAGTACGGGGGCGTTAAAGATCTTCGAATAACTCCGAATAAACTTTGGAAACCGGATATCCTCATGTACAACAGGTAAGCCAGACCGTTTTTTATTGCATTTTGGGTTTATTCAAGTAGCTTTGGTACCTTAGAACTAAACTGTCGACTAATCAATCCTAATTATCCAGCTAAACGATGAAAAAAAGTAAGATGTAAACTATTGAAATTTCTATTCATGGGAATGTTATATCTGAACGAAAAGCAGAATACCAATTCGGTTGATTAAACATACTTTAAAGTACTTTCAAAGAGTTTTCGTCCTTATTACAAATTAAAAGTAGTGTTTGTGTTAACACTCTCACGAGTGTTATCAAGCGAGTAGCCAAGGAAAAGTGAAAATGCCCCGTGAATATTCAAAGAGTTTATTATTTCCTGACTGCTGGTAGCGATGCGTTCTGTACAACGTCGGACACGCAACTTTTTTGACTCGCAGGTCGACTCTGACTCTGTCGAAAACGCGCTCGCTATTTATTCGGGTCCTAAGACGATCCACGACTCCTCCCTCGCCGGAAAACCGCGTTCTCCCTCTCCTTGCTCAACCCCGTGGAAAATGCCTAATCTCTCGGTTGGTACCCGTCCCATTTTCCAGACTCCCACGCCCAGGCAAAGTCCGCGCCAATTTCCTTCCTTCTAGCATTCCCAAACACTCGGGCCCTAAAATCGCGCGGTCCGCGGCCCGAACTAGACCCCCAAGCCTTGTCCGCCCGCAGGCACCGACGCTATCAGCAGCCACATTGCCGAAGTCTGCCGCCTCCGACTCGTGCCTTACAAAAACGTCAGGAATAGTTTGATTAAAATAATCGAATTGTACAAACGAACTTTGCCAATTTTGTGTTACGTTGAAAATTTTTATACGCGAAAATATGGAAGTGGACGATCGGGAATAATGTCGAGTTGAAGTAAAAAACTTAACAAAACGAAGATAAGAATGTTTCAGAAAAATCAACGGAAGCCTAAATCGAAACGATTACGTGGAAATTTACGTACGTTCTCTCTCCTAGCCCCTGTCTCCCTCGCTTTTCCAAATACGAACCGTATTTTTCCCGAGTATTAGAAAAACAAATGAAAAGTAGAAAATATGAAGCGCTCAGGGTACGTAAACAAACCAATAAATCCCATTGTTGCTTCGCATTTACAATTGGAAAAAGTTATTATAGACACTATCTTTTTCACACACACAGATACACACACACAAGTATATAGTAACATAGATTTTCCCCGAGTGCATGATTATATATAAATATATATATATATATTGATTAACACGATATATCCTACATATTGTATCTGTATATTTTTCATTTGTACATATTTAGTATTATTGATAGCTATAAGATCTATTTTATGTATTGCGTTTTTCCTGTCTAACGAAATAATTTTTCTACTTCCTAATCGTAAATATACGTATGAGATTCTTTTTAAAGAATCGACTGGCTTTTGTCCACTTCTCTCAGCAGCTTTTCATTATCCTCATAATTCTATTCACAAAGAAAACTTCATTGAAATTAACAATTTCTTTTCTCTAAACGAGCACATCTCCTCAATTTTTAATCATAGACTTCTTGAAATGTTCCATGAATTGTAAAGCTAATCCCATATTTATTTAATGAGTTATAGAAATAGGAAAATTAAAAAGTTATAAATCAACTTCCTAATCGATCCGATAAATTTCTTAAATAATAAATTTTCATAGAAAGACTGTGTGACAATTTTTCTGATCGATGATACACTTTCTTACTAACAAATAATGACGAGGCCGGTCGATTCGTAAGAATAGAAAATATTCTCGTGAGTCAATTACGATAAGAGGCATTGAGCTTTGTCTCCCAATTTCGAGCATCTTTTTTTTTCTCTTTTTTACCACTGCCTTTTAGATAGATTAATTAGTTTTAGAACTGATTAATAGTGTACTAGCTAATGGTGAAGCCGAGATATCAGCAGATCGTGAAACGAATCGTTTATTTATTTCGTTATTTACGTTTCACGTTCCGCTGGTGCTCGGTGAGATTATATGATCGTCGCCTCCTTCCCGATCTATATTTCTTCTCAATTTTTATTTTATGTAAGCCAGTCCCCATCGCCGAATCTAGAAAAAGAATGAAAAAACACTTTCGGTTGATATCGTACGGTGATAGGTATAAACCATTTGCGAGACCATTCGGCAACACGTCCGTGGCCTCGAGGGTACAGTTACCGGTGGTATTCTCCTCAAAGACGGGAAGATGTTTCGCCCGAAAATCGTAAAGGCGAATCCAGCTCCGAGGCACCTACGAGCCCGGAGGTGTACTGCCAGCCAAATTTAAGCCTCCATAACCCAGGCTAGGTTAAAGCTTCGGCAGCGTGCCGTAAAATCCGTTTTCATCCCCCTGATGCACGTTTCCTAACCCTTTACCGCGAGACACGACCACCAATTGACCGGGTCGGCTCATGAAATTTGTATCAGTATCTAGCCGCATCTGCCCGGTCCTAATCAATAATCAATTTTCACCGATTACCGACAAAACAGCCGAGGCTCCACCAGTAAATTGTTCGAGGGATCCTCGAATTCGCGGGGAATTTATGAATTGGTTACGCGACCGATGGAATGCGCGTATAATAAGTGAAAGCGATGGCGAATCCGGCTTGCATAACCCGAGAAGGAGACGACGATTTCATATAATAATCTAAACGAATAATTAATAGACATATTCGACGTCAGGCCACACCGTCACCGCGTGCCACCGCTGCACCGGGCCCGAAACCCGCCGCCTTCGAACTATTCGTAAAACGTACACCGAACCCTTTCTCGAATCCCTGAGGGAATGCCCGAGTGTTCCCTCCTATGCATTTGTATGTATATCCGCGATCACGCCCGAACCGAGCCACGTATCCAGCGTATCCGTTCCGAACCGAGAGCACGTAGGTAGACAGCAACCTATGCTTCGCCAGGAATCGATACCAGATTCGATCGAGATTTAAATAGTTTCGATCCTCCTGCTTTGTGTCAAATTTATTGCATCGCGACGCAGTCAGCATTTTCAACCGAATCAATAGTGATCAAATAGGCCGCGTATAGGAACAATCTGTATTTCCACGCTTTAATCTCAAGCTTTACGATACGAATCACTCACTTTGGTATCTTCATCGGTAAACCTATTTTGATTTAATAGTCATGGGGATAATGGCTCGGTGTCATAGCGCGATCGCGAGATTAGAAGCGGATTTCTCGAGCAATTAGAAGCGATTAGAAGCGGAAGTACGAGGCGGCGTATAGAATAAAAGGGGGCGGGTTTCGTGGCATGGTTCGATGAAACCTCAACCGCCACGATTCTAATTTCTCTACTATAATAATCAGTTGAAACGAGAATGAAATCGGATAAAGTTGAATTAACGAACCCATTTATTAATGACGTGAACCGTTCATGCTCTCGCGCGCAGCTCCGACGTTTCTTTGAAAATTTAAGATGTACAAAACTAAGCTCAGATATCCAATTTAACAACGTCCTGTTTATTATCGTGCGTCGACTTGCTTTATTATAAAACCATCTGGTTTGAATAACGAATCTCCGTTTAATCGAGTGATTATTACCATGTCGGGGATGGAACGGTTTTCCGGGTGATTCTCGCATTAGCGAACAAAAAGCTCGAACTTAAATATCGACGTCGACAAGCTGTTGTTCACCGTAATTATTATCGTGATACGCGAATTCGATACGGACCGGTTCGATATAGCGCGGGCCGCGCCACTCGTACAAGAGAAAATAATGAACAGCCCCGGCGCGATCAGTATTTCGAAAAGTTTTACGGTTACTAAAAAGTTTCGAATTTCGTTGCTCTCGTTTCCCGGTTTAATGCTACTTTCGTTATCGTAAGTATTTAGGAATAGTTACGGCAAGTTTCCAACAACCGGAGAACTGTGTCGAACGGGTATTAAGTGCCTCTACCATTCCTCGAGTATTCCTTAAGCGTTCGCTTCCTGTTTCGGTGAAATCGGCTATCGAGGTTCCTCGGATCGTTAAAGACGGAAGTCGACTAAGAAACGGAGGTGCGCGGCATTAGAAGCACATCTTCCAAATTAACGTTCGCAATCATCGTGCAACGTTTTATATCGAAACAATTATCACTTGTTGTTCGTCACCGGATACGGGAGGATAAAAAGATTATGAACCGGAATGGCTCTACCTCGTTGATCAATCGTCTGTTTTCGTTCCGTAAAAAACGTTGGTTGGAAATGTACGGACACGCTAATAAATCTTGGTTGGTACATATAACGCGTAACGTGTACCGTGGACATTAATTAGAGGGAACAGCGTTGAGCAGCTGCGCGCGGAGCGACACGAGGGTATCAACGACAAAAGGATAATAATCGAGACATTAAATCGACACAATAAGTCCCGGCAAGCGTAATCTCGATTATATCTCGCGCGAAACCCGTGTCTATTGTTTCCATTTTATGCGAAAACCTGCTGAAAAATTGAACGCGATAATCTCTCTTCCGGCGGATAATGTGAACCGTGAAACGGAAGACAAAGCGGCAGGGTAAATCTGTAATTTTGTAAACGGAACAAAACGAAACGCGTAATGACCAAAAAATCGGCAGATAAACCGTGGTATTGTCGTTAGCGAGCAAAGCGGAACGCGATAAGAAATAAAGTTTACTGACGAATCTCGACAATCGTTCTCGTTGAAAAAGTATCTACGTAGGATCGTCGATTTTAACCGTGGAGACTCGATCGTTTTTTAACGGAACGACAGGACGAACTGTTCGCCGATTGCGAACGATTAGAATGATAAAGATGTACATTGCCGGGCCGAACGAATCAGGCTAATTAATCGGATGTGAAATGCATTAAAGTGCGGATGAGGGTTTCGACGGGACGTACCAAACAAACGTGGTGGTCACGCATAACGGCAGTTGCCTGTACGTACCCCCGGGCATCTTCAAGAGCACTTGCAAGATAGACATCACTTGGTTCCCCTTTGACGACCAACACTGTGACATGAAGTTCGGATCCTGGACCTACGACGGCAACCAGGTACACACTCTCCACTGTCCGCTATCCACCGAACCTAACTACTAAACTATATACTGACACTGAAACACGCTCGGGGTATATAACACTGTCCCTAATCGAAAGGGAAACGTATGCACCTGTTAAAGATAACGACGTCACTCTTTGCCAACTGCCCGATTACCTCAAAGATTCGAGAGTTCAGCTTCCAAAGAACGATATTCCAAATTCAAGACGTTATCGTGGAGAGAATCGATCGTTATTTATTATTTATCTCCAGTTTCGTGGCAGCGAACTTTGTTACGAATATCGTATGTCGTATTAGAGCTACGTTATTAGTTCAACGATCAGCTAAACTTCGTCATCTAGCTTAACAAATTATGTACGAAACTCTCCACTAGAGATAACGAATGTTCTTACAATTTTTGAACCGAACCAAAATTGTCAGAGAATTAATACAGAAATTGACGATCGCATTCGTGGTAATTATAACATTCATTAAATCGATATTGTGTCTTGGCGATTCTCTACTCTGATAACGTATCTAATTTTCCATAAATTCCTATTGAGAAGAGGGATGAAGCATCGATAATAATTGCCAATACTCTCCCCGATAAATTCCATGCGAAATTCCATGAGGGAAAGGAATTGAAAAAACACTGAAATGAAATATCTCGAAGTTTCCCTTACGCTCCCAGGATAATAATTTGAGAAAAATGTAAGAGCTTCCTCCCGGGGCTTCTGTTAGTCCGAAACACAATGAACTCTGAAATAACAAGCACAATAGCAACAAAGATATATGTACATTGTATAGACCGCCATAGGTATATTGTATACGATACATTATTAGCTTTTTCGTTTATATTCTCACGCTTTACGTAGCTTTAAACAGCTTCCGGTTATTCCTTACATAACGATATTAGCTCTATCACGTATACTATCTGTTGTATCATACGTAACACGCAAATGTACCGACACGTGATCGCAAAATATCACTACGATTGTTGACAGAAGAAAGAAAGGGAGGCGGAAGAGAGTTTTCTCGGAAAGATAGAGTTACCCGACGTCCTCTCTCGCTTCTCGTTGTTTTCCGTACACGTCCTCCGGGGGTCTATGTACACGCGGACATATGCAATAATATAAAGGGAAAGTCTCCGTTTTACTTTTACCGTGAAAATGGTAGACGTGACAGTTCTGGCAAATTGTCTGGCAGAGTGAAAATGAATTTATCATTACCGGGCGCGACACTTCTGTCTGGTGGATGTGTCACACGTGTTCTCGCGAGAGGGCGAACATTATTCTAAACGATATTCGAGTCGGGGATGTTCCTCCGCATTTCGCGGAAACGTTACCGGAAGTTTAATGAAAAACCTAATATTAACTTCGGCCGTGAAGGTACCACGGTATCACGATTCGCTGAAAATTAGCAGTCTCGTTGTGGAATCGAAACTTCTCAATTATATCTGAAAGTACATTCGAACCATGCATATTCGAATCGAGTAAAATAGTCTATTTTTCCAGACCTCTCGAGAGACGGACGATGAATTATCGCGAATGTTAATTAATTCTTCTCGACTCGTCCTGCATAATACCTCGGCGATATATTCCGACGTTTATTAAATTCTTTATAAAGAGACACGTAAATCGTTGAGGATTTAAAACGACTCATCGCTCTTTCATAAACCGACAAAGATGAACGTATCGAGTCGCTGCTCGCGTTGTGTAAATCAAGCCAGAATCGCGTAAAATTTATCGTGTCCGTTCAGGATTGGACAAAGCTGAACCGTGGGGGGCGAGATCCTCGTTCGATACGTGTAACTTCCGAGAGAAAATTGAAGAGAAACGGAAATGAACGCGTGTGCACGGTGAAATCTCGAACGAGAAAGTAGTAATTAACGTATGAGGCTTGGAAGGTAGAAACGAGAAGAAGGAAGGGTGGGAGGGTGTAGTGGATGTTCGGGTGTTGCAGGCGTCGTTCCATTAACGACGATTATCTCAACTTACCCCGAAATTCTAGGGGTAGGTACACCGTGCTCCTAAGCGGCGCGGCGGGAGAACGTTTAACGAGATTTAACTTTGGAGATCCGCTCCACGCGCTGCCAACGTGGAACCGCGTACGGAACTATCCGTCAGACGTTGTAATAAATTAGGAATTAGTTTGATCAAACGTTATTAAAGATTTTCGACCAGACCTTTTCGGTAACGCGTTCGCCCGATGGAAATATTTTACGAACCAGCACGTGGCTTGGCGAATCATTTTAATTACCTTTGATTCAGATTGCGAGAGAGGATCGTCACGGCAGTTGGCATGCCGTTGGTATTAATAATCGATGAGTTATCGAAATCGAATCGGGGGAAAAGGATTTTATTATCCAATAAAGTTGACGGGTGAAAAGATAATTTACAACCGGGTTCCGCCCACTTTTCCGAGTTTTCACGGTACCGACTATGAGGATATAAATTAGTATAATTTACAATCGTTCAACCGTGCAGGCGACGTCTTAACAGTCATTTAAATTTACGCATCGATCGATCGTTAAAATGGAAGGGAAGCAAACGAAGGAGGAAGATATGACCAGAACCCGATATCGCAAACCCACCCAACCTCAGTAATATAAAAAATATAGTGACGAATGCACAAATAATCAATCGATCGTATTTTCTCAAAGAAATGATCGTTTTGAAAAAATGATCAAACCATTAGAATCGTCAATCCTTTAAGGAACGACATTAATTAAAATTAGTTATGCATCGAGTAATTGAATCGTTACAGTAGATGAATATAAACGTGCAAGTATTTGTGTACTCGCCACCAAAAAGAGGAACACGTAACCAGTCCCGATTAGAACCCCTAAAAATGAAATAATACACATGTATGGCGGACGTAGGGTAACAGGATGACCGATGCGAACACACGAACAAGCATACGTGAAAAAGAAATACTTACACACACACAAACACGCACACAACATACAGTTTACATCGACGAGTCAAAGCTGGGACCACGTGATTATGTCTGAGCTGGAAAATTGCAAATCAACGCATGGAGTAATGTCCAGGTCGCTCTCCTATCGACTTCGCGAGCAATCCATGTTCCGTAATCCGCTTCGATAGTCTCCCGATAACGTTTTATAAATAACTTTTTCTTTAATCCTCGATCCTTAACAAAACCTTCGATTCCTCGATATCTTTTCTATTTATCAAATGATTTTCCACGTCGACATCCGCTAATATTTTAAAACATTGATTTCTACGTTTTAAGTAGCGTTAAAAGCGTTTATAACTAACTGCAAAATCTATTTTTAGAACAGTTAAGCTTTATTTAATTAGTATAATTAAATGCTTCCTAAACGCATGTTAATCAATAGTGATTTTGCAATAATTTTTCTGCTTAATTCGATTAAGTGCATGATCGATCAAGAATTTGCTTAGCAATGGAGGAAAGTGAGCCTACGTAGGTATTTGAAATTGAAACGAACGAAAACGTTCTCCATATCCTCTTTCGCTCTTTGTATGAAAGCAGAGGAAGATGGAGAAGGTTCCTCTTCGTAGTAATTAGAGTTCTGCATTTGCCTGTAATTACTCAGATCAAATAATTCAAGTAATTAGACCAATCGAAATCGAAGGGAAGAGCATGGTTTTATGATAATATTTAAACTCGACAGTAGATACCAATTACTTAAGGCGATTTATTTTAAGTATAGTTACAGTTATAACCCTTGCTTGTGAATTATAAAAATGGCAGTAGTTGACATATGCCTAGTACCAGTTTGTTATTGCAGGAGAAGAGGGAATGTTGTAAATAATTCTGTTTTAATAAACAGCTTAAAATAATTGTAATTTTTGGATATCACGAAGAAACAATTGCTGATACCATCTCGACTTAAACTGTGACTGTAATGGTAAGAATTAAACTCGTGATCAGCTTAAGGATGTATTGGCTATACAGTCAATCCCAAAAGTTTATGTACTCTAGAAAAACGCATTTCCTATAATTAAAAAGAAAACAG